CCCTCAGGACTCTCAGCCAGGACTCTTCGAATCCTCAGCCAGGACCCTCAGGACCCCCAGCCAGGACCCCTCAGGACCCTCAGCCAGGACCCTCAGGACTCTCAGCCAGGACTCTTCGAATCCTCAGCCAGGACCCTCAGGACCCCCAGCCAGGACCCCTCAGGAGCACATGAAGTCCCATTGACCTCTCCACCCTCACCTCCCAGTGTCTCCTCCACTAACCTTACCCTGGCTACCCCCAACCCATATCCTTCAGCAAACACCAGCACTCCAAGGGTTTGAGTCTACACTGCTAATGACCTGTCTGCCAGGAGTCTCCTCCACAAGGAGCCCCTCCTCCATCCTCACTGCCCAGCTTCATGGATCTCCTCTGGAAGGGCCCCTGCCCTGGATAGACCTGGCAATCCTCACTCCCTGCAGCAGGCTCTGGGCTGCCAGGGGCCAGGATTTCTCCAGGGCCTTCCTCCACCCCTTCCCATTTTCCCAACTCTCCTCTTCTCTAAGCTGGGCAGCCTACAGGAAGCTCTACATCTCAAACCCCAGCCACTCCACATGTGAGTACCTCAAGTAAGCTTTGTACTCCTTTACCTGTTTATCCCTGACCCAGGCAGGGACAGGAGACATGGAGGGCCAGGCAGTGGTGGCACACACCTTTAACCCCAGCACTCATTAGCCAGATGGGTCTCTATGAGTTCGAAGTTAGCCTGGTCAGCAGAGTGAATTCCAGGATGGCCAGGGCTACACAAAGAAACCCAGTCTTGAAAAACAAAAACATCAAAAGAAAAGAAAGAAGAAAACAGGAAACAGAGGGTTCACAGGGAAGTGGGTACTTGGTTGGTCCTGACGTGCATGACTGTCCAGGGCCCTGCCTGAGTTTCTTCCCCTTGTTGCTGTGATAAGATAGATACTCTGAGAAAAGCAGGGTGCCTGGAGGGAGGAAGGGGGAGCAAAGGACACTGGCTCACAGTGCAAGGTTCAGGGGCTCAGCCACCTGTGCTTTCTCTGATTCTCACTGTGCGTGTTGCATCTGGCCACTATAACAAATCTGCACACATTCAATGGCTCTGGGCAGCAGAAAACACCTCACCTGATAGTTCAGGGAGTCAGAAGTCTGAAGTCCGTGTACTAGTCCCAGGCCTTAGTGTGGTACATGCAGGCCATTCCCATGGGGTTCTTGTGGAACTGGTTCTCCTCACCTTCCAGCTCCTTGAGGCTGCCCATCATCATGGCCTTGGCTCCTCCCTCCCCACCTGAAGCCAGCAATGGCCTGTTAAGACTTCTGGCAACTCTTCCTTCCTCTTTCTCATGTCAGTTACTTCACTGTCGCCTAAATAAAATGCCCTCCTGGTAAACACAATTAAGGAAGAAAGGCTTTGCTTTGCTTCCAGTTCCAGCAGGGAGAGTTCATCATAGCTGGGAAGGCATGGTAGCAGGGGCTTGAGGCTGGCCTGGCAGGAAACAGTGGTCACATTCCATCCCTACTCAGGAAGCAGAGAGAGGAAGAGAGAGGAAGGAGGATGGGGGGAGAAAGAGGGAGAGAGAAGGAGAGAGGGAGAGAGAGAGAGAGAGAGAGAGAGAGAGAGAGAGAGAGAGAGAGGTGGGATCAGGCTATAAGCCTCCCCCAGTGGTGCACTTTCTTCAGCAGGCTCCCCATCCTAAAGATTCCACAATCTCTCTAAAGAGCACCACCAATGGGTCCAAGTGTTCAAATACATGAGTCTTTGGGGGGACATTTCTCATTCAGCCTACAGCAGACACTCAAATTTAAGGTCAATCTTGTTATACTCTGTGTATATATTTCTGCTCTTGATTAAGGTATTGTGCTTCTACAGCTCATTTAGAAATATAATGTATAATTAAGAAATATAGGCTCATAGAGAGTCATCTATAATAATCAAGCTTGTAGTCATATTAGTTAGGTTTTCTAGATTACAGAGATGCATTTCAGATGGATAGGCATTCTTCAAATCTTTCAGAGACCTTCAGAACATGGCATTTAAAATGTTTTAAGAACTTAGGACTTTTCATGACAATGAAACATATCTGCTCCTGGCAGCACCAAGCTACTTCAAGAGCATAATGGGCATCAAAGAGGCTCCTTATGGAGTTTGTTAGTCATTTGGGCAAGAAACTGCTCTTGCCTGGACTGCTTTATGGTATGCTGCATAAACTGGACATGCAGGACCCACAGAGAAATGACTGCAGAACTTGCCTGAAGGTGAGACGATCCTTCAGGGTTCCTGCTTCATGAAAGAGTCTGCCAGACATTCTGCAGGACTCATAAGAAAGTGACTGACAAACTGCTAATAAAGGTGGAATTGTCTTTGAAATTTTCTGCTTCATGGAGAGGTCTACCAGATACTATGGGCCTGTAGGCTGAAGATGGATGCCCCCAATGTTACCAAAGAAGTTTGGGTGACTATATAGGCAGCTGGATGTCTCTGTCAATTCTAGAGTTTTGGAAGTTACTTACAATGCACTTCCTGTTTACTTAGGTAATATTATATCCTTCTGGAGTCTTTGATGGAGTTGAAGAATATATAGTTATAGCTTTCCTTAGTTGTGATAAATGATAAAGTAGATATAAATATTGTAACTGTCTTGCTTGATACCTGTTTTGTTAAATGAAATCTTCCTTCATTTAGCCAATCAGTGAGCTCCAGGTTCAGTGAGAGATGCCATCTCAAAACATAAGGTGGAGAGCGGTACAGGAGGATACCCAGCGCCAACCTGGGGCTTCCACATGCCTGTATACCCACATGCACGCATACACCACACATACCAATAAGAGTACAGTGTTCTAACCTACTACACTTCAAGCGTACGCTAATTTAACACTTAAATGCTGAGAAATGATGGAAAGGAAATATTAAATAATTATTTTTTCAGATCAAGCCATTATATTTCTGTGAGAACAAATGATGTTGTTGCCTGTTTAGTGGAAGAAATACAGCTCATAGCATACCTGAACCGAGACATTTCAGGTGGTGTTTGCTGCGTGGCCTGTGTGTGGTGCAAAGCGCTTGGGCTGTGTGTGAAGATGCAAGGCTGCAGAGACATCACCTGAAGCAACACAAGTGATCACCGCCAGAAATACCTCAGGTTCTTCACAGGTTTGAGTGTGGTGTTACACATACAGAAACCTTTACTGTAGCCAACAACTTTGCAGCCTCACATGGGTGGTCATGACACACAATTTTAAGACATCGGGCTGAAGAGATGTCACAGCAGTTGACAGCACAGGCTGTTCTTCCTAAGGACCCAGTTCCCATTCCTAGAGTCCACATGGTGACCCACATCCCATTGGCCAACACTTGTCATGCAAAGGAGGCTGGGAAATGTAGTCCAGCTGTGAGCTCTGAAGGTGCTGTGGCCACACAAGTTGGTAAATAGCCATTTAACCCACACTGCTAGGGAGGGTCTAACCTACTGTGAGATCTAGAGGTCTTGGGTCTGTGGACAGGATGGAGAGGGATCAGTGCTTACAGAACAACCTGTTTTTAGGTCATATTTGATGAGGGGTAAGTGAATAAGTCCAACAGGCCAGAGTCACAGCTCTGGCCCCACACTGCCCAGGAACCCCAAACCACAGGCCCCTGCTCACCAGGGAGGGACGACAGAGGTGGCTCAGAGTACTGATCTCCTACTAGCTGTGAGACCATCAGTCCTAATGGACAGGTAGACAGGCACTTCACTCATTTAGATCTCATTCCCCTCACAGCCCATGTCTCCCCTATTATCGCATTCTGCCTTATGGAGAGCAAAGAGATTAAACACCTGCCCCAGCTCACCATCCAGGACACCAGATTTGATTCAGAACCTACCAACCTTGGCCCCTTTATAGCTATGTCTGTAAAAGCCAGTTTTACTCCACTGAAATGGACTCAAAAGTTCCAAGTCAAACCACATTGATACTGGGAGTCTGCATGCTGACGATTGTTATCCTGGAAGGCTTCCGGGTGGGGCGACAACAGCAGTCTCCAAGGCTTGGGGCACCAACCTTGGACTGCAAGGCCACCAGCTAGGGACGAGAGCTGCACCGTGCACTCCAGCCGACAGGGGGCGCCTCACCGCGCCAAGCGCGTACCCTACCCTTCGGCTCGCTGCGCTCGCGCACTCCCGCCGACAGGGGGCGCCGCAGTCCACGGACCCGGAAGTGGGCCGTTCCGCCCGGGACAGCCGCCCGGGCAGCGTCCCGCCTGCCCAGCCATGGGGCCGCTGCGCTGGCTGCCGCTGCTCTGGCTGCCGCTGCTCTGCCAGCTGCTGCTGCTGCGGCTGCTAGCGGCCCACTCGGCCGGCCCCATCCAGGCCTTCGTGGTGCCCCACAGTCACATGGACGTGGGCTGGGTCTACACGGTCCAGGTAAGTGGCGGGCGCTCCTGAGCCCCTTGCACAGTCGATGCCTCCTGCAGGGGACGCACGGCTCAGCCGGGAAGCGGGCCGGCCTGGGCTTCAGCCTCCACCCTGGGTCCCTGCTGTCTGGCTGGCCACTTCCTGCTTCGGAGTCCTGGTATTACGTCTTATTGGATGGTCCCTGCAAAAGTCAGGGCAGGGGAGTGTGTCCCCAAAGTGTGGGTTGACAGGTAACCAATCTCGGGAGTAGACCTGGGGTAGCATAAGGTGGGGCTGACTTCCAAGCAGGTGAGTGTCAGCTGACTACTGGGAAGTGGGCTGGCCCTCTGTGGTGCTGACACAGGGGCTAGCTAGTTCAGCTTCCTCTACACACCACCACCCAGCCAGATAAGCTTGGCGCTGGGTCTGTAACCTCGTGGTTCTTTCTGTTCAGAACCTTGGACAGGGCAGCGTTTTCTGTCCTTTGCCTCAGTTTCCCCATCTGTAAATAGAGAGTGGTTACTCCTATCCTGGATGCACTGGGGGCTATTAGGTACCAGGACACTTGGTCTCTGGATCTTCTCTTTGGTCCTTTGGGCTCACCACCACCTCAGCCTCTCTGGAGCTGTTGTGATGGTCTCCTCAGGAAAGCATGCGGGCCTATGCAGCCAATGTCTACACTACTGTGGTGGAAGAATTGACTCGCAGGCAGCACCGGCGCTTCATCGCTGTGGAGCAAGAGTTCTTCCGGCTGTGGTGGGATGGTGTGGCCTCTGAGAAGCAGAAACACCAGGTAAGGTAATGAATGACGGGATGGCAGGTTATGGGTTCCCAGGTATCCCAGGTGTCATGTGAAAGTCCCATCAGGAGACTAGATAGGGAGTTCCAGACATGCCAGCTGTGAAAAAGGGGTGGGGGGGTGGCTTGTGGTCAGGGCCACTGCCCAGAGAGAGGGTAATGTAATATTTTCTTTTTCTGTCTGTTCTCGGGGAGGAAAAAAATGTCCCACAAGCCAGCACTCCTTCCCAAGAGTCATGGGGGTTGGTGTTGAATCAACTCCCAGGTGAACCTTGCCCCCTCCCCTATTTGCACACACTGACTGTCTCCTGCCCCTCCTGGCTGTGTTTGGGATCCTTGTGGCTCAGGGGCAGTTAGTGTCACACAATACCGAAAATCCTGGGCAGGTTTGTGCCTGGTCCTGCCACTGGCATCTGTAAGCCATGGCTTCTTCTTCTATAAAATGAGATAGCTGCCCCCCCACACACACACACACCAGACAGCTCATGCCAAGAATGAGTCTGAGGAAACACCTGGAACAATACTTAGGAACTCTTCATTTTCTTCCCAGCATTCACCTTTCTTTTGCTTTCCGTTCTTACCTCTGTTCTTTTCTTTTCTTTGAGACAGCACCGACTGTCCCAGAACTCTCTCTATAGCCCAGACTGACCTTGAACTCGCAGAGGTCCGCCTGCTTCTGCCTCCCAAGTGTTGGGATTAAAGGCGTGCACCACCACTGCCTGGCTGCATTCCCCTTTCTAAACAACCACTGCATGTGAACTTAGAAGACCAAGCAGGCTTAACGGAAGTCTTCTAGGTCTTACTGGGGCTGGACTGGGGGTCTCATCAAGTCTGTCAAGTCATGCATGGTGCATAACCTCATGTTTGAGGTTCCTTGCGTATACCAGGTGTGGGGATTGTCATATAGACTTGCGGAGGTGGTCTGGCACCAGCCTCAAGGATTTACAGATTATGAATAAACAGGTGTGGTGTTGAAACAGGGGTCTCAGACTTTAGAGCCTTCCTCTTCCAATGGGGTCTGTCTTCAACCCTCTGTGAGGGGCGTGGCTTTTGGGTAAAGCCCTCTGTAGGAATCTACTAGTTTGGTTCCTTGGAGGCCAGGATTTTGTCTGCTGTGTCCAGTGCAGAATCCTCCAGTAGCTGGACAGCTCCCCATATGTACTGGGTGGTTTGGGTAAGTCACCTCAGCACACAAGCCAAACACATCATACAAATAGCCTGGCAGCCCACCGCCCACCCTCATGCCCATGATTTTTCTCTACTTATCCCTGCGTTCATTTATCTGACATACCTTCATCAGCAAGACCACACTGAAACCAGGACAACAGGCCTGTCTCCCTCTAAGTTGTCAGACCCCAAAGAAGACAGACTGAGGAGCCTTTCCCTGAATGAAAGAATCAGAATGAAAAGTGCTTACAGTGACAGATGGCCCCTGGTTGAATGGGTGTGCCAGGAGAGGAAACTGGTGGGACACTTGGAGATTCACGTGCAGTGTGGACATTGCTCAATGCAGTCTGAGCATTCTGTTTCCTGATTGGCATGATAATACTGGGGTTAGCATCACCCACATTCCTCTGAGGCGCACACAAAAGTGCTCAGAGTAAAGCAGGCTGCAGCTGACTCACCGTAAGTGCTTCAGACAAATAGAGAAAGGGTATAGACACAGAAGTATTCCGGTAGAAGTGTCCAAAGCTGTTGCCACCGAGGGGTTCTGGGGAAGAGTATGAGGAAGCATTTTGCTCTGCTCTTGCAGGTTTTTTTTAAAGTCTCAAGTTATTGAAAATTAAAAACACATTTATGGTTACAGACCTGGATCTGGGTCTCAGATAGCTACGGTGGGCTATGTGCTTCTGGATGTTGAGGACAGGGACAGTGTTCTGATTTTGTGGAGTGAGTCAGGGTGGGCGTTTCATGAAAGCCCCTGAGAAATGCTTAGTACCCATGACCTGACTGTCTTCTGCCTGCCTGTGCCCAGGTCCGCCAGCTCCTGGATGAAGGACGCCTGGAGTTTGTGCTCGGAGGCCAGGTCATGCATGACGAGGCTGTGACCCACTTGGACGACCAGATCCTACAGCTCACAGGTTTGGCTGCTGTACTGTCTTCTTTTATTATTGATGATAAGTAGCTGAGAAAACCAGTTAAGCCATTTGCTTGGCCTACAGTTTTTGAGTTCAGCCGACAGTCCCTGACTCTGTTGACTGTGGGCCTGCGGACAACAGGACTGTGTTGATGAGGACACTGTTGATTTCATGGTGGACAGGAAGGAACCAGAGACAAAGGGGACCTGTTCTAGTGACCTACATCCTCCAGTCAGGCTCTGCATCCTGAAATTTCCAATCCCCCCACATGGGGCTCAAGCCCCCAGGAGATGAGTCTGAAGGGCAGTGAGTAGTTCTCAACCTGTGGGTCGCACATCAGATGCATGCGTTATGATTCGTAACAGTAGCAAAGTTACAATAATGAAGTAGCAATGAAATAATCTTATGGTCAGGGGTCCCCACAGCATGAGGAACTGTAGTAAAGCATTAGAAAGGTTGAAAACCACAGCTGTAGGGGATATTTCCTACTCAGGCAGTAACTGCCCCTCCTCCTGTCAAAGAGAGGCCTGGAGTAGGTAGAAGTGTTTGTCTGGCCTCCACGCCCTGAGTTCTGCCTGCTTCTCTGAACAGAGTGCTTGGGCAAAGGGAAACAGTGAGGGTAGACCTGAGCAGGGGGGTCCAGAGTCAGGTGACCTAGGACCATCATGACCCCATGGACCTTTTCAGGAAAGGGATATATCATCAAACCCAAGTTTCTTCCTTGAGAGATTAGTTTGATAGGATGCTAATACCTGCCTCTTGAGAGAATTCAGTTGGGATAATTCATATGAAGCACTTTAAACAGAATATATAGTTCCTTAATGAATGCCCAGGGAATGTTATCTGCTTTCGCCACCATCACCAATATGACTGCCATCATCACTACCGTTCTTCCTCCAACATTATCATCAGCACCATCCCTGCCTCCACTGTCTCCATCACTACCGCCATCTCCTTTATCACTCCCACCACCACCACCACCACCATCACCACCACCACCATCCTTATCACCACCATCACCACCATCACCACCACCACCACCATCACCATCACTACCACCAGCACCACTATCACCATCACCACCATCACCACCACCACCGTTATCACCATCACCACCACCACCACCACCATCATCACCACCACCATCACCACCACCACCATCACCACCACCATCACCACCACCACCATCCTTATCACCACCATCACCACCATCACCACCACCACCACCATCACCATCACTACCACCAGCACCAC